CCCCCCCTTTAAAATGGACCCCCCCATTTTTTATTTTTTTTATTTTTTTTCAATGGGTGGGGATGGGGTCTTGGTCGCGCCGACGGAATCCCGACCCCGATCGGCAGAACCCCCCTCCCCTTGGCCACAGCGTGTCCATTTCGACCGCGCCCGCTGGGGATACATAGATCAAGGGGTTCGCCGTTACCGCACGACCTTTAACGAACCTGCTACGGAAGGACCAGCCCCTCAGTTGGGACGCAGAGTGCGAACGGGCCTTTGTCACTCTCAAGGAGGCCCTGGCCACAACACCTATTTTGATCCGGCCGGACCCAACAAAGCAATTCATCCTTATTACGGACTGGCAGCCCGAGGCAATCTCCACTATTCGAGCACAGAAAGAGAACGACGGACGCGAGCACGTCATCGAGTACGCCTCCCATACTGTACCTAACAAACGAAGGAACGATTCAGCCCCCTAAGGAGAGTGCTACGCGGTGGTTTAGGGAATCCAGCACGTCCATCCGTATCTGTACGGACATAAATTTCTTCTTGTTACGGATCATGAGCCGCCATTGGCCCTCAAAAGGCTCACAAATTACATGGGCATGATTGAACGGTGGGTGGTGCGGCTACAGGAATACGATTTCGACATCATCCACCGGAAGACAGAAAGGCACGGAAACGCGGACGGGTTGATGCGACTGCATCGTCCAATGAAGGTCGCCAAGGGTGAAGAAATCATCCCGTGGAAGGAACCGGAGCCAACCAGCGGACCCCGGTACGGACATGTGGCAGTTCTCCCACGCACCGTGGGACAAGCACGTGGCGATGGGTGACGGAGGTAACTCCAACGCTCCTCTCTCTCCCGTCTCGTCTTCATCTTTTCTTTCTTTACCTGACAAATTTTGTTATTCCTGTGAAGCGATCTCGCGGGTCTACTCGGTCCCTATGCATCCTAGTGGGGATGGGTATGTCGAATGGGTAGATTGCCGACAGTGTGTGTCGAGAGCCCATGGCTCTTGTATCGAATACCGAAGCGGTAACAAGCCTTGGCTGTGCCCCCTGTGTTGGACCGATAAAATCCCGACCAAGGCTCGATTCCTCGATGCCACGTCAGAAGGATTAGAAAAAAGTTCAAAAAACTCAAAGGTTTAGAAGGGCTGAGGTTTGGACCGATGTCGCCCTGATAGCGGCCGTAGTAGGGAACCCCCTCCGAGACTTCACTAAGGAGGACCGGAGGAGGGTCAATGAAAGGCCTCGAGATTATCGATGGAATGAGGGACAGTTGGAAAAATGGAAGATGGATGGTAGTGGGATTTGGATGACTGTACCCCACCCGTTCATGAGGTATGACTGGGTTAAGTCAGCCCACGAAGATACCGCAGCTCACTTCGCCGTCCGGATCACCGAAACAACGATTGACAAAAACGAATGATATTGGTCCAATATTCGTGACGATGTCAAATTCATCGTCCGAAGCTGTCAGGTCTGGGCCGCTGACAAGACGTCGATTCAGCCGCCAAGATCGATAGTGCCCACAGTAGTCGAACGACCTTTTCAAAGAGTTAGTATGGACACGACCGATATAATGGTGCCCCCTGGACCGAATTGCTGCGAATATTCAATTTTATTGGTATTCGTGGATCATTTTTCCAAATGGATCGAGGCGTATTCATGTCGAACCCGGCAGGCGGCTGAAATCGCGCGGTATGTCAACCGTTTCCTCGAGATGCATCAAGACACTGAGGAAATTCTGACGGATAACGGGGCAAAGTTTAGGGGGGAAGTTTTGAGGAATTTGGTCATACATGGGGTCGCCATTCGTAACACCGCACCTCACATATCGCAATCGAACGGACTGGTAGAAAACACGAATCGAGTAATTAAGACCGTCCTTCGACGCAATATCGCAGTCAGCGACACGAGGCCTTGGCCCGATATTGTGGACCACATTCTGGCGGTCCATCGAGGAACGCCCCACGAATCCACAGGCCTGAGCCCCTTCCAACTCCGCACCAATAGCTTGACATGTGTCTTGATACCAAGCCTTAACGATGAATTTGCCTTGGGTCGACGACCCACTAGGGCCACGGCCCGGGACAAGGCTAAGCGACACTTGGAATTAATGGAACGGTCCCTCCCTAGGTTGGCTCGGAAACAACAGCGGATGACTGAACTGGCCCACGGATCACAAATCCGTAGCTAAACTCCGTAGCTACGAGGCTCGAAACGAAAATGCGGGACCACGGCCCCTGTACAAATTAGGGGACATGGTGCAGGTGAGGAAATGTGCTCGCCAAGGTAAGCTAGCGCCACGATTCTTTGGGCGATTTTGCGTGATCGAGCTCGGTCCGAACGGGGTGAACACGGTGCGACTGGTGCCCGAAGCCTCAGGCAGCCGATCGGCTCGCCCGATCGTCCGCCACGTGTCCTACCTCCGCCATCTCTCAGCTTCTTCTTCCCCTTCCCCAACCGGGTCGATCTCGGAATCCGAGTGGGAGAGTGACAATCCCCATTCCCTTCTTCTCCCCACTCATCTTCTCCCTCCTCGTCGCCATGACTTTTTCGACGGAGCAGGTCCTCAGTGAACGTATGTTGGCGCCACGAGGGAACATCTCGACGATCCGGCAAGTCCATCATCCGCGCATCAGCCCCGACGTTCTCAGATTCGCAGAGTTCTTCAGCACTCAGGTGTGCACGCGACGACGAAGTTTCGCTTTGTGGTCCCCAACAGCCGGGCACAAGTGCAGCTGAGGTGCTGGCCGAAGCATTGGCTTATCGGCGACTCTCGACGCCGGGAATCAGTCACGTTTCGACGATTGTCTTCTTCATCGGGGATCTTAGTACGGTGGATCCCAGAGCACATACGGCCATCCGTACCTTGTTGAGGGAGTGGGGCGAGGAATTGGCGCAGGCTTGGAACCAGTTATTGGCGCGGCAAGGGGAGAACGTCGTCAATACCATCATTATTGACACCGGAAGCATCCGCACTCTCCGGCACGAGTCGGCAGTTGCACTCCCTGCGCTCGTCCTTTTCTCGCGCCCTCAATGAACCGTTCTCAATTCTCTATCTTCACCCTCCCCTCTTTCTTCCCCACTTTCTGGCAGTCAGCCCTCCATCCCCGCCTCTCCTTCTGCGTGTGACCGCTTACAGTTCCGCTCATCGAGCCATCGCAGTGGGAGATATGGTGTTAGAATTACTTCACCCTTTCTTTGTGCCTAGTCGGGATCGAGCTGATGTGGACTCGGGACAGTGAGCACCGTGCCGTGAATGAGAGTGTGGAACTGCTTATTATCCAAGCCTGGAGGTCGGAGGTGGAGGGAGACCTTCTCGGATTCGTCTTCGGAACAGTAGACCCAGGACATCGGCAAACAATCGTGCGGGAGCTCTTGGTCCCCTTTGAGCAGTTGCTCGACGATCTTCCAACCGACATCATCTTGCATCGCGACGAGAATCCGGCGCCGTACGTGCTTTCGCGGAGTTTAAAGTCGTACTTGCAATGGTCAGCCTGTCAGGAGGATCGCGGGGGAGGAGGTAGCTACCCATCGCGCGCGGAGTATCTGAACCCCCGAGGGATAATCGATGTTCTTTTCTTTCAGCCCCGAACGACGTCGGAGGGGGAAGCGGCGGAGGAGGACGAGGAGGAAGAGACCTCTGAAGAAGAGCGAAGCTATAGCGAGTACAACGAAGAAGAGTCGGGGGCGGTGAGTGAAGAAGAAGAAGAAGAAGAAGAAGAAGAAGAAGAAGGAGAGGAGTCCGAGTGGGAAAGTTTGGGAGGAGAGGCCGATCAAGCGGAAGTCCAAGAAGAGGATCCTGCAGCAGCCGCATAAAGGAGGGGAGAGATAGCGGCGGGGAAGCGGCCGTTGGAGCATTCCAGCGGCACTAATTTGCCAATCCCAGACGACCCGACCAGAGATCCCGAGCCGCCCGTGATTGAGGATGAACTCCCTCCTACAGGGACTTCGAGCACGCTGGCGCGGAGGCGACGAAGCTGATCCCCCTTCCCTTTCCCCCGTCCCTCAGTTCGAACACGTGGCGATGCAGGACATCGGGCTACGTCCCCGGTCGTTATCCCGTCGTCCCCTTGATTTTCTGACCCTCCAGCAGATCGATACCCCGCTCTCCTTCCCCCGTAACCCCTTCCCGACTTCCACCTTCCATCACTTCTACGCCACTCGCCTCGCTGTCACGATGTATCCACATTCCACCACGAGATGCGCCGCCTCCTCTTTCTCCCTCCACGTTCTTCTCTTCAGTGCCGCATGGCGAGGACATAACATGGTCGAATTCTACTGCATGATCACGTGCGCGGACTATGATCAGTTTCGCACGGCCCTGCTCCGCACCTTTCCGACCCTCTATCCCGACTATCTCGCTTCTCTCCCCCATAGCGGTCGCTGATTCCCCCACATACATCGCATTGTCAGATATCAAGAGCTGTCGGAGACGGTAGCAGGGATGCAGACATTCTTACCCCCACTCCCAGGTGATCCTCCCCCTCGCCATCCCCCCATGTACTGACTCCCTTATCCTCTCCCTACGGTCACTAGCGCACCATCGGATCTAATGACGTGTCAACAGGATGATTTCCACACTCATATCGTGCGGTAACGGCACGTGTAAATTGGCAAGATCCCCCCCCACCTCCTCCGTCCGTGGTTAGATTACCCTTTCCGAGGAACTTGTAGGATAGAGCCCGCGTATGCCACGTTGGATGACTTCCACACTCTTATCGCACGGTAAGTGGCACGTAGAGAGCTCTGCGTCGTCGATCGACTAGAGAAATCGGCACGTGCCGCAACATCGAGCAAGCAGGAGCTTGCTCAAGATTGGAACCCCCTGGGCGTCACATATGTGACGAACCACTTTCTGTGTCGCGCGACTTTCTGCGCGATGACAATGAGGGGTCCTGAGATGGGAGGGTAAATTGCATCAGTGTCCTCACTTCTTTCTTTTCCTTCGCTTCGCTCCTTCCCCTTCGGCGGTGATGGGACAAGCCCGGGACAGACGGTTGAGTGTGCGTGCCCCGTTGGGCGCGATCAATAATGGTTGGCGATGGTTCTTTCTTGCTCTGCTGGGAGTAAAAGGAGGGAACGGAGATTTTTTTTGGCGCGATGATCGCGCGAGAGCTTTTCGGTTTTTCTTTTTAAATTTTCCTTTCAACTAAGGACGAGCCCCCGAGGGCTCTCGGAATTTTTTATTTCTTTTTGCTATTTTTTTCTCGCCTCGTTGGAATTTTTCTGTTGCAATTTTGAGTTTAGATAGGAATTTAGGACTTTTTGAATTTCTTGCCAAGCGGCGCCTCTTTCTTGCGTGCATTTTCCTGCGTCGGGAACGAAGTTCTGACTAAGCGGCGCCCATAATCTTGCATGCAACTGTAATCGTTGGGCGGGCGCCATTATAACTGTATCTTTCTTCTTGTTCCCTCGCCTTCTTCCCACCCTTCTCCCGTTCTTCTTGCTGCATCTGATTGGCCTGAGCGCTACATGCCTAGATCGATGCGTGGAGAGTGGCTACGTCCCCCACGCCGCGATCTGGCCATGCCAAGCATAGGCACTTCCTTCTCTGCTCCTCTTTCCAATCCCTGCAACCTCACATCTTCGCGCACGCATGCATGCTCTAAATTTCGTCGGCGCGATTAGATAAGAGGTGAGTTGATGTGGGAGTTGGGCGACCCGACGAGCTGGTGCCAAGTGCGCGGGGTTGACGTGTAGGCCACGACGGACTGTGGCGCACGGGCGAACCTGACGGGCGCATGCGGACTAAGCGGGGTGACAACTTCGTGGGTGGGTGCGAGACAACGGACTGTCCGCATCAGAGAGAGAGAGAGAGAGAGGAAATAGGCGGATGTGGGATTGCAATCTTCTTTGTCCTTTCTCAGTCCTTGTATATAAAATTTTGGCTCCGGGTGAGACGCCCTTGTTTTGCATTTTGACATTTCTTTCGGCTTTGTGTGATGTACGGCTCAATCTCTATCCTCCCTCTTTCGTTTTGCATTCGTTGGATCTTGTAATACGTGATGTTTTGCGTGTAATCCTTAATCATCCCGCCCTCGCAGCGCCGATCTATTCTCACCCGGATGATTCGTAGGTAAAAGGAGTCTGATACTGTTGTGGTGCTTCGATGTATGTCTAGATGGCGATGAGATATCCCTCTGATGGTCACGTAACTGCTTTTGCTCGAACAAGAATGGCTGAGAGATTATTGCATGACCACATAAACCGTCTTTTGCATAGGTGATTGGCTGATGGATCGATCCACAACGGACCAACCCCGCGAGTCCCCGTGTAAGCGCGATCTGACGAGCGCGACTTACACGCGCACCCGCGAGGCCGACCCGCAACCATGAATGGGCTTAGCACGACAAATCTCAACGTAAATGACGGAGTCTTCATCTGGGATATGGGTCGGGATAAATTAAGGCCCGACGGCACCCGGGGACCACTGGGTGTGCAGGCTGTGGGAATGTCCAGAACGGAACAGATTGATAGCCTAAGGGAACTAGCTGCATGGTTGAGTCGGTACGCGGACGGATCGTCCTTGATTATTTGCGCAACTGGCCAGTGCACACGCGCGTATAAGACAGCAGCCGTCCGCGGACTTGCCATCTATATGCGTGCCTGCAAAAACGAGCTACGACCTCGCCCCGTAGGAAGATGTGTGTGAGCGAGACATGGCGACAGATTCCCCTTTTTGGATCACAGATCGCGAAAGCCTGAGGGACCCAAAATACCGAAAGTAATGGGAGAGGGAACAGATCCGCCGGCAGCGAATCCGACAACATCGCCACCTACGGAACCTTGGATACCTTGAGTACCCCTGCCGGACTGAAAACGAGCGATCGTGCAGGGGCGACTTCCAGTTGGCAATCAACCGAGACCCACGGATTCCCGATTATCCCGACAACTTCCCTCCCTACTATACCGTCCTCCCTTACCACCGGTTACTCGTGGTCCCCTGGGATTCCGTAGCCCGATTCTGGCCCCGGCCGCCGTGCTCGGAGTGTCGGCAGCCCGACGAGCATCGACAGGCGAGGGTTGTGCAACGAGCCCATTCCAGGACCGAGCGACGAGAACCCAACTCGTCTTCGCCGGACCCCGAAACTTGCGACGGCCGGCAGCGGTACGAACACTCCCACAAAGACGCCCGTAACCCCCCACCCCGGCCCAGGCAGCATGATCGATCAGCGCCCCAACTCTGAGCCAGAAGACACTTGCACTCCTACCCCTGAGACTTGCCACAGGAGATCTCAGTTCCGACCTGGGACTCCACCCCAAATCCCCAAAAATCCTTGTCACACCCCTTTTTCGCACTTCCAGGCCCCCATCCCACTCCGATAAGGAAGTCGCGTTGGGCGTGAGGTTTGGGCGTCACAAGTCCCTCACGACTTACCTCTGGAAGAACAATGCCTAAGAGTCAAGGTTTGTCTGAGCCGGGTTAAATAGGACTTCCTATCGCAGCCGACGAACAAAGGCGGATTGGGCATACTTGACCCGCGCCGTGAGAGTGAAACCCTCATCTTTAAGGTGTTGATTAGACTCCTCATTGACACCGACATATTGTGGGTCCTCTTCGCATGTCTACAAATTGCCAATCTAGCCCTGCAACCTTTAGGGCATCGCCGCATTGACAAATCCACCCCTTCCAATGGCTGACCAATGCCCACTGGGCTATTCCCACCCCAACGCAACCCGGACAGGTCAATACCCAAGCGCAACCGACCAGATCAGATATGCAGCGGGACCCCCTGTGGCGAAACATGATTAAACTCTGGCGCCGGTGTGGTCCACAACAGCAGCAGCCGCCCCTCAGATGGCATCTGGCGCCAGCCTCTGAAAGGCTCCATGGTCCAAACAGGGGACTGGGTTGTGCAGTTCGCGGACCTCCCTAAACTGCTCGTGGTTTATCGAGTGTGCAACAAATGTCAAGGCACCTGTACGCTGGAGGCCTACGAACCCCTAATGCCAAGGGCAAGATTCTCGAAGCTTACACAGAATGAAGAGTCTGACCTTGACCCCTGTGCCACAATGGGGGGGCCTGCTGCAGGTCAAAGTGGTGGGGGATTCCGAAGCTGGGCAATTCATCTATGAGGCTTTGACCCCGGTGGCACTACTGCCTTTTGACCCGCTGGAGTGGGAGTGGCAGGGTGATAAGACAATGCCTGTATGGGAACACACAGTTAAAGGGGTCTATACAGCCTCGAACTCGGACCAACCGTTGAATAAAACGGTGGCAGATAGTTGGGCCCGTGACTCCCCTATGGACCGACCCTCATACAGGACTTGTTGTGGTCCACATGCGCGAACATCATGTCCACAAACCTTTTTTTTTTTCTTGGGGAGCTGATAAGAGCAGACCCCTCTAGCATTCCCAGGGAGGCTCCATCTATTGGTGGGGAGCTTCACCTGCTGGAAAACGGGTCCAGCATCCCATTTACATTGAAATTGTTGGTTAATGAACCAGTAACAGTGTGATGATTGCTGCCTAGGAATATCTCTGCAAGCTACTGAAGAGAGGATGTTGATTCTGGGGGAATCAAATATATGTTTTGTTTCCTTCTGTCCTTCTTTCCTCTAACCACCTGTTCTCGGCATCAACTGCCCCCGCACCTCTTCACCTTTCCTTGTGGTGCCAAATCTTACCTCTCAAGCTAGCGTTGAGGTTCTTGTGCCATAAAATTGGGCTGGGTGGGTGGGTGAGGAATAGACTCCGCTAGCCTGGGACCTTTTTTTTTTTTTTTTTTTTTGAAAAAACTCCCCCTAGTGAATGTCCCTCATCCGAATGAGGAGGCCTGCTGCCTCAGGACCCAGGAACTTTCACCTAGTGACACTCTATCATCAGATCATTTCTATTAGTGATAATTGGGAAGGTGGGAAGGGATCAACAAAAAACATAGG